AAAAAAAAAAAAAAAACTACATTTTATTTAAATGCACTTCACATGAGGGCTTTTTTGTTATTCATTTTCTTCCACAGATTTTCTTTATTGTTTACTGTTTAATATTTTCCTTCTCTTTCTCATGTTCTAATTCTATAAAGTAGCAGAATATCTGGATTAAGTAATAGTATTTTATTTCTTTCTTTTTAAATATGAGAGTATGTAACTTTTAAGATACATCAAACCAAAATTGTATTTGTTTTCAAGGATTAAGATGCTGATTCTACCCCCAGTTCCAGTTCCAAAGATTAAAGGCATTGATCCTGATCTTCTCAAGGTAATTCATAAGTCTATTTAAATTTTAGATAGGACAAAGTAACACCTGAAGAATACTGTTACATAAGTGAACGTTTTTTGCAAGCTGTGTATATCACATTTAATTTTTTTGTACCCCATCTCCTGGAGAAAAAATTTTTTTTAAATATTACACTTCTTGCCAGGCATGGTGGCTCACACCTGGATGGCCGAGGCAGGTGAATCACCTGAGCTTGGGAGTTTGAGACCAGCCAGAGCAAGACTGAAATTCTGTCTTTACTAAAAATAGAAAAACTAGCTGGATGTGATAGTGTATGGATGTAGTCCCAGCTACTCAGGAGGCTGAGGCAAGAGGATCACTTGAGGCCAAAAGTTTGAGGTTGCTGTGAGCTATGATGCCATAGCTCTTTACCCAGGGCAATAGAGTGAGACTCTGTCTCAAAAAATAAATAAATAAATAAAGATATTACATCTCTTAAACCTATGAAATGTATATATTTAAAAATTCTGCACTAATTTACTTTTTCTTATTATATGTTCTTGTTACTATTGTTCTTATTGTGACCATAATTAATCTGCAAGTGTTATTTGCAAAACCACTTAATGATTCATAGGTCTTCATATTCTTTCTATTTTCTAGGAAGGAAAATTAGAGGAGGTGAACACAATCTTAGCCATTCATGATAACTACAAACCTGAGTTCTACAATGACGACTCTTGGGTGGAATTTATTGAACTAGACATTGACGATCCTGATGAAAAGACTGAAGGCTCAGACACAGACAGACTTCTAAGCAGTAACCATCAGAAATCACTTAATATCCTAGGGGCAAAGGATGATGACTCTGGACGTACCAGCTGTTATGAACCCGACATCCTAGAGACTGATTTCAGTGCCATTGACATGTGTGATGGTACCTCAGAGGTGGCTCAGCCACAGAGATTAAAAGAAGAAGCAGATCTTGTGTGCCTTGACCAGAAGAATCAAAATAACTCACCTTACCCTGACACTTCCCCTGCCACTCAGCAGCTCAGTGTTGTCCTAGCAGACGAAAGCAAACCACGACCATGTCTTGTTGGAAATGAGACAACTCATCAAGCTGCCCATACTCAGCTAAGCAATCCGAATTCACTGGCAAACATTGACTTTTATGCCCAGGTGAGCGACATTACACCAGCAGGGAGTGTGGTCCTTTCTCCGGGCCAGAAGAATAAGGCAGGGATATCCCAATGCGACACGCATCCAGAAGTGATCTCACTCTGCCAAGCAAACTTCATCGTGGACAACACCTACTTCTGTGAGGCAGATGCCAAAAAATGCATCGCCGTGGCCCCTCACATGGAGGTCCAATCACACGTAGAGCCAAACTTTAACCAGGAAGATATTTACATCACCACAGAAAGCCTTACCACTACTGCTAGGAGGTCTGGGACAGCAGAATGTGCTCCGGATTCTGAGATACCTGTCCCAGATTATACCTCCATTCATATAGTACAGTCTCCACAAGGCCTCATACTCAATGCCACTGCCTTGCCCTTGCCTGACAAAGAGTTTCTCTCGTCTTGTGGCTACGTGAGCACAGACCAACTGAACAAAATCATACCATAGCCTTTCTTTGATTTCCAAGAGCTATGTATTTAATGGCAAAGAATCAGCTGGGGCACGAATGCTTAAACCAAATCAATGTTTAAACCTTTTGGGGTGGGGAGGGTGAAGTGTGGATCCTAAATAGGCCTTTTCCTGAAATGTTGAAACATGGTATTAAAAAGAAAAAATAAGAAGGATGTTTAATCGGATAGATATTCCTGTTGTGAATTGTAAATATTTTAAATAATTGTCTCAAAGACTGTTTAGTGGCAGTGATTGTCTTGTTATTGTGAGTGTTAATTTTGTGATACTAAGCATTGAATGGCTGTGTTTTTAATGTCTAGTAAATCATGCTTTTTGAAAAAGCGAAAAATCAGGTGGCTTTTGCAATTCAGGAAAATTGAATGCAAATCACATAGCACAGGCTAATTTGTTTCTTTTTTAAATAATCAGGAACTAAACTATAGGGAAGGAGGCAAAAATAGTTTGGATATGTAAAATATTTATTTTGACATAAAATTGATACAGATATTTTTAATAATTTAGACTTCAAGCATGGCTGTTTTCTATGACACTAGACACTGTGTACTGTAGTTCAGATTACCCATCTAAGGAATGTAGCAACTGCAGTCTAGAGCTGGTTTAAGGCTTTTGTCAATGCACCGAAAGAAAAACAAGTTAGTTTTTTACAAGGCCCTTTTATACCTCTCCAAACTCAAACTCCTTAAACGATTCTAAAGTGCTGGTAGTAACCTGCATTATTGGAATGCACCTATTGTGTCTGAATTTTTAAACAACATATTTGTTCATTTAGAAAACTTTTAAATGTTTGCACATGTCAACTGGCCCAAAAAAATGAACCAAAAACAATGCAAAAGCAAAAAAAAAAAAGAAAATGTCTTCAAATTTTGGTTCATGCCATAGAGCTACATGCTGAGAGAAGTCGAAGGTAAAGCTAGTTCATATTGACCCGGACGCTAAAGTGCTATGTTTGCTCATGGAGTGAGGATTTTAGTGCGTGTGCATTGTGAGTGATAAACTCTATAACCTCTACAGTGGAATCTCTTCAAACCCAACTAGGTTTGATATCATAGTTACCTAAGAAGGGAATAGGTGCAAGAAGAATTTCGTAAGTTGAAGCAAGTTGAATGAAGTTAACCATGTAACGGAAGAAAGAGTTCAAGAAAGGAGATTTTCTTTCCCCACCGTTAACCAGATATATATTCATTTTTCATGGTAATGAGGGACAGAAGAGACAAGGTTTTCAGCCCCCACAGATAACTCAAAAATGACTTTAGTCAATAACAGAAACTTTCTTTCTCATCAAAACTTTTATAGGACTTACTTAAAGTATTAAAAGAAAGAATTTCATCATTTTTTCATTTTCTGTCTAAAGCAGGCAGTCAGTCAGAAGAAAAAGAAGGCACCTGAGTAACTTATAAATTATTTTCCAATCCCTTAAGATCCTAAACATCATTCTTAGGAGCACTGGGATAGACCCCAAAAGAGTTATGATACAGAGAAGAGGCTCATCTCACTGAACAGTACTTCTCATTGTTTAAAAAAGCTTAAAACTTAGACGTTAGCTTTAACTTAAATAGTATTTGCCATTTAGCTCAGACCTTTATAGGAAGCAAGCTTAATGGTTGATGATTTTAAATTCCCTCTTTCTTGTAGGAAGGACAATGAAAGGCTAGAATTGGGTCTTTAAAGTTCAATATGTTACTTTGTAATAGATGTTTAATACATTTTCTGCTATCTTGCTGCTATGGTTTTTCTCCAAGAGCTACATAATTTAGTTTCATATAAAATATCATCAGTGTAGAACCGAATTCAATTTAAAGCTGTGTGTTTGAAAGAACCATCTTACTATTTCACAATAGGCTGACAACATTTCTATAGCCAAAAATAGCTAAATACCTCAATCAGTCTCCGAATGTCATTTTGGTACTTTGCTGGCCACACAAGCCATTATTCACTAGTATGACTAGTTGTGTCCTGCAGTTTATATTTAACTTTCTTTATGTCTGTGGATTTTTTCCTTCAAAGTTTAATAAATTTATTTTCTTGGATTCCTGATGGTGTACTTCTATTGTTAAACAGCAACATGAAAACATCCTAAACCAGAACGTGTACTGTGAATTCTTCCTGTTTTAAGGGTAGGTTGGCACAGTTGATTTAAACACATTGGCAACAGGTGTGGAGATTTTTTGTGCATGTGCTGAAATTGAGAAAGGCAGAGGAGGCACCTCCCTCCCTGACTCTTTTGAGCAGACAAAAGCGCAGCTCAGAAATCCTGCTGGCTTATCTGGACTGTGCCTTCTCCTTAGGCTGTGACTCCCCGTGTGTAGGCTCATAGGGAATTGTGTTGCAAATGTCACAGGAGTTGCATGACATGCGTGTGAAGCAGGGGAGAGATTGAGTGAGCATTGTCTTTAAGCTTGAGCATGTTGCCTGGAAGAAGGAAAAGCAGCTCCTCTACCATTCACCCACTGGCGCAAGTCAGTGTGTCAGACTAGCTACTTGTCATCATGGGAAGCAGATAGTAAGTCAGGCCTGAAAGGGAAGCTAGCTGGGCAGGTTGTGTAGGAGCTTGAGAGAACAGTAAAGCACGGAACATAGATTCCTGGTACGGGGACAGACTCTGGGGGTGGGGTGGGGTGGGGTGGGGTGGGGGTGGGGTTGTTGTTGAACCACAGGTTCTTATGCAAGCCCTGAGTCCTGAGATGTGGGAACCCGGGGATGGAATGGATAAACCCATTAATAATTATTCATTCCTTCAGCAAGTTGAATGCAAAGTGCCACAGCTTTTTATAATACACAGGGTTACAGTTGGTACCGAAAAGTTTCCCCACCTGCTGCTTTTTTGCCCTTTGAACAGTCATCACCTGAAAGAACCGTGGGGTGAAACCTCAGGGGTTACTTATTTGGAAATACTACTTGGAAAGTTGGGTCCCTTCTTTTACTACAATATTGGAAAATACACTGCCTTAATATTTATAGAACGATACAAATAAATAAAAGGTAACCATTATAAGCATTATAATGTATTTATTTCTCAAATACACTATATAAGATTCAGCCTTCTATTACTATAAGCTTATCATTCATATGAGGTGCTTTAAGGTATGAGGAGTAAAGAAGAAGGAAGGCCTACCTACTGCTATGGATTGAAAGAGCAGTCTTTTTTATTTCAGAAAGTTAATGGCCTCTTGAAGATGGCCACGCATCTGTTCCTGTATTTAAACTTCTCAATGATTTTAGTAAGCTATACGAACTCTGAAATCTATTCAAGTGCTATAATATGTACTTATTTATTTTTATACAAAAATATGTCTTTTCATATGCTTTGCTTTTGTCAGAAATAGAAAAAAGAAAACACTGGAATTTATTTGAATCCGAGCTCTTTAGTTTGGAATCCAAGATCCCACATGATTTGTCCAGTCTCTTTTGCTAGTTTAATATTTCAGAGCTGGATGTAAGAGGCACGGCTTCTGAATAGGATTTTGATTTTTAGTTAACACTCAAGTTCTGCATGAAATCTCCCAGGAAGGGTATTATGTCAACTAGGTCACAAAGACAACATTGCTAGTGATTAAAATGATTTCTGGCTGGTAAATTACATCTAGATGGGGAGAGACTACAAATATCTGGAGAGAACCCACACTTTGGACTTGAGTATGATGACTTTTGTAGTTGAACATGTCCCCTAGAGGGACACTGGAGGCTGAACCCATGGAATAGTAACAGGAGCTATCGTTGCTCCAGCAGGGTCTAGAGCTTCTGAGCCTGGGCGACTCCTTCACCTGCTCAGCACCTTCCCTTGAATCTTAGCTGTCACTTGGGGGTGAAGGGAAATGAAAACAGCTGCTGGACAACTGGATAAACAGCTGTGCACACTGCTTCATAGTGGTGCCATGATTGAGTCTAAAGCAGAAAGCCTGCTACTCCATCCTTCCTGTCCTACATCCTGCTCAGTAGCCTGGAACCAAGTGTGGTCTGTGGTCCTCTGGTGAGCTTTTGGTTGAGCCTAAGAAGATCTCCTTGCAGATACTTGCCATTCCTTGAAAGAAAATTGTGCTTTCCCATCTTCATATTCTTGCTCATGCCTCTTCCTCCAGCTGAAAAGCTCCCACTTAAGGATTCTGCCTGGCAAAATTGCTCTCATCCTTCATGGCCCAGCTCAAATGCTACTTCACAAAGCCTCCTTTGAGTTCCTTCCTCCTTAAGTGATCATTCCCTTCTTTGAACCGTCTTATAGTGGGGTTTATCACAATCTGCTTGTTAGCTCCCTTAACAGCCACTTAGAATGAGTTTACCAACATGTATTCTGGGAAATACATATGTGACCCCTAAAATATTCAACAATGGATGACTCGGTAATCAAATAAGTTTGGAAAACACCTCATACTACATGCCCCTCTGGAAGAGCCAGAGTACATTGTGACATTTCAAAGCTTCTGCAGTTTAAAAAGAAATGTTTAAATTTAACACATTACTTCCTAATTTATTATATTTTACAATAAGACATACAGTGATGGAAGAATACCCAGTATTATATCTATTAATACTTGGGAAAAGCTGTTTCCCAAGAATAGCACATTTCCCACAAAATAAAGTTGTAAGAAATCTCAGATGAACGTGGATCTGAGCATAGCATCTTTATATGATGCTACTAAACCATTACTCGCTCACTAAAACTTCCTAAAAACTAAAAGGCAAAGCACCTATGTGATCAAAATAACCACAGATTCCTCCCATCTCAACTCAGGTGCATTACTTTTTATATATGGAATGATATTTTTCTAGGGCTTAGAGTTCTCAGAGCATTGATAATCTTCTCTGTGACAGTGACCCTGCCTGCTTGCTGAAACAGACTTTGACTTTCCCCCATTATCAGCTCAAAGACTAGGGGAGAATGACTAACTAGGGGAGAATGAGATTTATCAATACTAATTCTCATCCTTTTGGAAACGTGGTTTTCTCTGTAATCTGAGGTTTACAACACCAAGAAATGCTTATGCATGTATCACTCTTCATGAGAATAATATTTTGTATAAAATTATAGAATAATATTTATCTATTATTACATGAACAAAAATAATTCACTCCTTACTGCTGTCTACTGATTTTTAAAAAATTGTCCACACACAACGTTGAATATAATAGATTTTTCACAGTAGTACCACGAAGCAGTCTTTGTAGGAATATATAGATAGCAATTTTCTATTGATTTTTTTTTTTTAAAAAAGGAATCTCTACATGATTTCTCTATGGGCATTAACAGATGTTAGCTGCTTTTTCTATAAGGATGAAATGATTTTTCTGAAAATTGTATTCACTTTGACTTCCCAAAGGTATTGCAGTCAAAAATCCAAAGTAGAAAGATTTTCATTGTTAGCTTTCCTTTAGATGGTGCCATAGGACAAAAATAATTTGCATAGGATTCTGATTTTATAAAGTGCATTCAAATCTGTTATTTTATTCAAATATAAAAAATAAGTGTTATAAGCAAGTCAGACATTATTTTTAACATTTAACATAAGAGAGAAAACCAAGACTCAGAAAATTAAAGAGACTTTCTCAACGTTAATAAACTATGGTAGTAAATGATGGAGCCAGTAGGAAAACTCAGATCCTCTAACTGGTCCAGAATTCTAGAAACAATGCATGCTGTAACATTCCTGAGTGAGGGAAAAGCTTCTTTTATCCTCTTCACAGTGTGAGGAAAATGATGGATTACCTGCCAAAGATAAAAGGTTCTTATCTAACAAACAGAACCAATGGTAGGTTGGCAAATGTTTAACAACTAGTTCTTCAAGGCAAGCATTGGGGTGGACAGGAGTTCAGATGTGTACCATTTGCCAAGTTCTGTAGTGTAAATACTACCATATGGCAATTCTAAGCTGTCAGAGTTTCATCACTGCACAACCGGTGCTCATGAGACCGTTGGAACTGCACCAGCATGGCACTGAACCTACACAACCTTGCAATGGCATCTAATGATAACATTTCTGAAGACTAGAGAGCACTTAGCTAGCACCTACTAAGCCATATGCCATATGCCAGACACTGTTCTAAGTACTTTACACTCATGGACATATTTATCCTCACAGTAATCCCATGAGGTAAATTCTACTATCCCCAATTAATTTGACCAAAGTCACAAAATTAATACATACAGGCAGTCCCCAAGTTGCAAACATCCAACTTGAATACCATTAGTACTTACAAATGGATGCTATTACTGTAAGTCCCCAAGTTACAAACATCTGACTGACCTATGACTTGCATTTTCGAATGGGGATTATTACAGGTAATAGGTAAATATGCCTGTTCCAACTTACATACAAATTCATCTTAAGAACAGACCTACAGAACCTATCTCATTCATAATCCAGGGACTGCCTGTACTGGTGCCAGAATGCTGACACAGCACAACAGTTTCAGAGCCCAGGCTCTCTATTCAGTATATGATTGGATGTACCGTGTTTCCATGAAAATAAGACACTATCTTATATTTATTTTTTCTCAAGAAGACACACTAGGGCTTATTTTCAGGGGATGTCTTATTTTTATTAAGTATAATACAACAATCTACATTTATTCAAATACAGTTAAGTCATCTTCTGGAACCTGACAGGGGGAGCCAACCTAGTTGGTGAGGCTGGCACTAGTGATGCATGGACTCCTTTCCTCTAGCCATTAGCAGGTGCACAATAGGATGCCTGTGACCCTGGTTACCACACACACACCCGTGCAAGTGCAAATGGCTCAGAGAAAGGAGCTGTGGCAGATAAAAGGTATTCCAACCTTTCTTATCGCTCCGTGCTGAAATGCATGGTGTGGCTATGCAGTGTATCTGGGCATAATGCCCATCACTAGGTCTTATTATCGGGGGTAGGGCTTATATTTAACAAATGAATAGAAATCCTGCTAGGGCTTATTTTGGGGGTAGATCTTATTTTGGGGGGAAACACAGTATACAATGACAACAAAAGGCCTTCACTTACTGAGCACTTACAAATCCAGGAAGACAGTTCATATTCAATGTTGCTAACCTTTATAGAAT